GGGGTAGGACGCCTGAGATGGGAGAGGAGGAGGAGGAGGGTTTGTGCTGTGGCGGGGGCGTCGGGGGCGGAGGCGACGGCGCGGGGAAGAGAGGGGGATGGGGGCGTCGGGGAGAGCGAGGAGGAGGAGGAGGAGGGGGCGGGAGGGAGCTCACCTGCGCCGTCGCCGCCGCCGCCGACCACCGCTGGCCGCCGCCGCCGCCGCGCTCGTCTGTTGTGTTGCTGGTCGAGTGGGGAAAAGGGGGAGGAGGACCCCCGGTTCGGGTGAAATCAGAGCGGGATAGGGTTTAGAGGGAAGACAAGGGTTTATTTTTTGCTGCGAGTTTCAACTTTCAACGAGGTGATTTTCAGCGAACCAACGTGTGGTTGGATAATTAAGAGGACGGTGGCATTTCTATGCCATCAGAGTTCAAGTGCTAAGCATGTGGCGGCTTTGGCGAGCGAAGGAGCAGATAAGATGTGATGCGCGGGGGCGAGCATGCGAGAGGAGATGCGGCGGCACAGGACGGTCGTAGAGTGCGCGGGTCCTTGCGGGGCGAGCAACGGAGGCTGGCGGGGACTATTGGGCGTTATGACAAGCGAGGGGAGCAGCAGCGGCGGCCCGCCGCCATCGGCCGATTCGAACCGAGGAGAGATGTAATAGGGTTAGAAGAGAAGGGTAACACCATCCCAAATGTTCGAACCGTCACACCCCGACCGGCATCAATGATAACATTTGGCCCTCAATCGTCCTCATAATACTTTGAAATACATGGGACTTTTGTAGCACTTACGTCTTCTGTAACGAACCTCCGCCTAGTGTGAAGAACATTGTTTTGGATTTTACTCTGGACTTATCGGTTTATTCAACTGACTGTAAAAACCGCCGTCATGTCTTGCTGCGACTACCTTCCTTGTGTCCTAGCTTTGCAGCTCTATGACTTGGCCAAATTATTGGCTCCCTTTTTTAACTAACAAGTCAGGCAAGCTAACATGATTGTAGCAATCGATCAATTCCGTCCATCTCCCTCGGACGCAGCCATCACCCATCCTCTCCCTCTTGAGCTCGAGCTGAGGAAATGATCGAAATGGCGGCCAACATGTTGTGCTAGTGGGCCTCATGCTATTTCACATTGGTGTAGTCTTAGCACTGCAAGGATAAGGGAGGGAACAAAAAGACCCCTCTTATGCAGAACATGGACCTAAGACTTGCATGCTTTGCACAACAGACCATGGGTACGAGAAATTGAAATACCAACCATTCCATGGCATTCGTGCCTGGAGGTAGCCGCTCACATGCATATCCTTGAGACCTTGACATCGATATCATCACGTGGTCAAATATATGTGTGAGGTTTAGTTGCAGGACGCGAAGAGTTGAACGTTGCCGAAAACTATCTCGCACGCTTATACTCCAGAAGTGTAACATCCCAAAATTTCATATTTCGAGTTTTAATAGAATTTATTGAAACTTTCTTGTGTTCCTGGCTCTTGGCTCATTTTTATTAGGATTCAGAACTTTTGGAGTTTAAATGAAAATCAAAATGGGAGGGAATAAAAGGACTTTTCCTAAATTTCCACTTGGCATTTTAAATTGGATCTTATTAGGATTTTATTTTTTTTAAAGAATCGAAGTCGAAAATAAAATAAAATGAGAGAAGGAAATACAACTCCTTCAATATGGAAAGAGTTGAGGTGTTTTAAATATTGCTTGGTTATTTTTTGGAGTTTTATAATATTTTGGGAACTGTTTAAAATCCAAAATTAATTTGTAGGAGTATATATAAAGCCCAAAATGCATTTTTTTAGAAACATTTTGTGTATTTTACTTTATATTTGTCTTGCAAAAATGTTCTCTATCCTCCATATTAGTGATAATAATATTTGTTTTCTGTCCTTTTCTGGTATTTTAGAAATTTGTTTGCTACTTAGCTTTAGCCAATTACTACATGTCCTGTTCCGAACAAAGTTCAGCCAGGCCAGCACAGCCCATTTCATTTTCTCGCCCACGCGCGCGAGGTAACCTAGCTCAGCGCGGCGCAGCGCAGCCCGATGCCCCATCCCTTTTTGTTTTTTTTTTCTTCTTCTTCTTCTTTTCCTTGTGCAGCTGACCGCTCGGCCCTACTCGGCATCTCCTTTGCGGAGACTAGTTCCTCGCGGTTCCTGTAGCTCGGCACCAAATCGAGATTGATTCGCTGCTCCGGTCTCGCCGGAGTCCGCCGAAACAGAAGCCCGCCGCCGGCCA